CTCTCTCTCTCTCTCTCTCTCTCTCTCTCTCTCTCTCTCTCTCTCTCTCTCTCTCTCTCTCTCGCGCGCGCGCGCGCGCGCGCACACACACACACGCACTTTTCACGTGCTCATGGGAACCCCCCCCAAAAAAGCATGACTGTGACAGACTGTTTTGTTGGACTTTCACCAACTCATCAGGAGGTTGAACCCCGACAGTCTGCCCACAAAGCATTTGCGTGTGTGCGTGCATGTGGGTGTGTGCATGCATGTGCGTGGGTGTTTGTGTGCTTGTGTGGACGCGCGGGGGGGCGAGGCCATGAGTGCGTGTTGTCAAGCTCGCCGCGTGCATGCATGCATGTGGGTGTGTGCATGGATATGCATGTGTGTTTGTGCGGACGGGCGGGGCCATGTGTGTGTGTTGTCAAGTTCCCTATACACCACATTGCTGCACCGCCAAAGATAGAGCATCCGCTGCGGCCCTATACACCGGGTCGCTGTGCCACCAAAGACATGGCGATCGCCGCCCGCTTTTCAACGGGCGCGACGATCCAGGTCGCCCGTGGTCCTACCGGGCCAATGGCTAAGATCGTCCCCCGATCTTAAGACTTAAGATCGTGCAATGATCCAGGCCGTTCGGCAGGCCCAATGGTCCATATTTTCACGCGATCTTAAAGTCTTAAAACTTCAAGATCACGCGGAAATCTGGACCGTCGGGCCGGTAGGACCGCAGGTGGCCCAGATCAGCCAATTCTCACGTTAGCGATTTCTTTAAGTGTAGGAGGATAGCTTGGTGTTGCTGTCTCTCTTCTTTTCACTCTGGATCTTGTATCATGCTTGCCGGTGACAAGCAACCGGACTGTCGCCCCCCTAAATAGATGGGCCCTTGTTTGATTAAAAAAAGAAAAAAGAAAAGAAAAGAAAAATTACAAAAATAGCAGTAAAGTTATATCTGCAATGTAGCAGGATCGTTATGCCAAAATAACTTCATGAAATAACAAATCCATAGACATGTTGAATGACCAACCTTCGCGAGGAATCGTGCCTCTTATCCTCTCTACCAGAGAGAGATTCCGGAGGTCTTGACACTTGGAAGTCCCTCGCAGTTGAGTCATCGATGGAGCCAAACCTGCGATGCCGCGAGGAAAATGCTTCCAAACTCCCTGCGCCCTGATAATCCTCCTGCTTCTCTCCATCCCATTCTCGCTCCTTTTCCCTCTCTCTTTCCCACTCCCTCTCCCTCTCCCTCTCTCTTTCCCACTCCCTCTCCCTCTCTCTTTCCCACTCCCTCTCCCTCTCTCTATCCCTGTCCCTATCCCTATCCCGCTCCTTGATGTGATGACCATCTCCCTGCTGGGAATGTGCTTGATGGTTGCTGTCAGTCCTTTGGTCCAGGGGAGGATCCGTCTCATCCTTCTCCCTGTCCTTCTGCTTCTCTCTCGACTTCTCCCTTTCTTTAGACTGCTCTTTCACAGGCCCATTGTCCGCATAGACCACCTTGTTGGCAGTCACATGATCCCATAGCCTTCAACAATCACAACAGAAAACACACAAGGTAAGCCCACAACCTATCAGCAACCAACAAACAGACATAAGATGAAGTTGCATGCCATGCATTGCCAACAATGCACCACCGGTGAAAAGGGAAATTAGAACAAAGGTAATCCATGCACAACCTTTGCATTAAACAGGTGGCAGCACTGCTGATTGATGTGTCATCTCCACATGACTGCAGAAGATATTAAGGAAAGGAAAAAAGGAAACAACAAGCAACCAGCCTAGAGCCCAAAGGAGTCCTCTCTCTCTCTCTCTCTCTCTCTCTCTCTCTCTCTCTCTCTCTCTCTCTCTCTCTCTCTCTCTCTCTCTCACACACACACACACACACACACACGTCTCTCTCTCTCTCTCTCTCTCTCTCTCTCTCTCTCTCTCTCTCTCTCTCTCTCTCTCTCTCTCTCTCTCTTACACACAGACATGCACACACACACACACACACCCGCCTTACATACAGACACACACGCACGCACACACACGCACGCACACACACTCTCGCACACGCATGCACGCACACAAACACAAGCACGCACGCACACAAACACACGCACGCACACACACACACAAACATGCACGTTGCCAATTGCTCACTCACAGCAATGGCACACAAGTAAGCAGACTGTCCACCACTCATACACACTCTTACCACCCACCACCCACCGCTGGGTTCTCTCTTCTCTTCTTTTCCTTTTGTGAGCAACACCGCAAAAAAAGCACTACCAAACCGTCTTCAACAGAAGAAGAGGCTTCTGCATACTACTGCAGCGATTACACTGTGGCAAGGACCTTACATGCACAAGCATTAGGGTGGCATTTACAATAGTGTGGCGTCGTCATTAAAAAGCATGCCAAGGAACAGGATACATACCATGCTGTAAATGCCCCTGTCTTCGACGAAAGAAATGCCTCCAACTCTGTGACTGCTTGCGCTTGAGTCTTCCCATGCGCCACAAGAACCACAATATATTCCTGGATTGAACGACGACAACATTGAACAAGTGAGTCAAATCTGAAAAGAACCCAAACAGAGCACCAAAATGCACCCCTAGGTCAAGCAATGACAAAGTATCACCCTCTTTGTTGCAGCCGGGCAGGAGCGTACATCACAGATTGTGTCACAGATAACACCTTCAGCCTTTGCTCTCATTGCCGTGGCTGAGTGTTGAGTAACCTCTGGGCCAAATCAGAGTTTGCAAGGAGAATGCCATCTCAACATTTCCGTCATCCGTGCACATGTTACTCGTTGAGTGAATGGGATGTTGCCAGCACACCCTGCCGCTCACAAGGAGGCTCTGCACTCGTTCATCATCGGCCTGAATGCCTCTCCCTACCCACCTCTCATTTCCCTCACAAACTCCTCAGCACAGGCTTCCCTGTGGAACACCCAAAACCTGACAGTCTCACAGAGTCTCACTACAACCTCTTCGCACGTATGTGGCTTCACTTACGACCATATTCAGTCCAGAGCGCCCATCCTCGCTTGTTTTTTCTTTATGTTGTGGATAAGGATGGGTCAGACAAGTGACCAGCAGTCCCCCTTACATCCCGACTTCCCTAACGCCTGGCAGTCTCACGGAGTCAAAGGAGCAATGCAACCCCATAGGGAGCTTTGAACAAGAGCAACAATGAAAACAACGACGACAGCCATAAAACAATAACGACATGGGCAAAAGAAAAGATGGAAAAAAAAAATCAACAGTGGTGCTGTGACCTGTTCTGGGAAAGTCCACAAACAGACTTTTCAACAATCAATCAATACTCGATAGCATAGGATAGAGCTTGGAGGGAAAAAAAAACACAGAATGAAAAGGAAATTGTAGCAGCATCACATTATAACAGACCACAGACAAAAACACCCACCGCAAATTTGAATGCCTTTCTCGCTATTAATGCAGCTGCAGCTGGACCAAAATGCTTTCCAAAAGTTCAGCCAATACCTAAATACTTTTTTGGAATGTTGCAGCAGCGCCTGGCCTGACCACTCCAAACACCTGGCTCCGACACTCGAGAGCACTTCGCAAAATAATGTCGGGCAGATTTGCTCCTTTGCAAGCAGGGGGGCACACATAAGAGAAAACAAAGCACAGCAAACGATAGGCTGCCAGAGACGGAAGTGAATGAGGAAGGGAGCGTGGTTGTAAAAAGGCAGAGAAGGGAGAAAGGGAGAAAGGGAGGGAGGGAAGACAGGAAAGGGGACAAGCTAGGAACCGAGTGAGGGAGGAAGGGGTTAAACCACTGCAGTACTTCCTAGAGTCGTGCCCGTTAATGCGCCACGATTTTAGGAAACGTACGGGCTACTACAGAAGCGCCCAAATTCATTCGACTAGAAACATTTCTACTCTATTTTTTTCCGCGGCCGATAGCTGGGCCAAGTACTGGTGGTTTAAGGTAGTCGGGGAGCATGGTAGGAAAGGAGAAAGGTGATAGGTAGGCAGAGAAGTGAGCGCAAAGGAGGGAGCATGGGAGGAACGCAGCGAGAGATAGAGAGGGAGCAATGCACGAATGGAGACGGGGGGAAGGGGCAGAGGTGGTAAATAGGCAGAGAAGTCACCGAGGGGGCAAGGGAGCGAAAGAGGAAGGGAGCTAAAACTCCGTCTGCACAATTTCCTGTGTATTCGAACAATTTCCTACGGACAGTCCTCTTGCACTTTACTTTGCGGGGCACAGGGAGAGATCGAGGTAGAAATGGAGCAAGGGGGACAACGAGAGCGACGAGGGGACTGGGGGAGGAATGGTCGTTGTTGTTGTACCGCTAAAACGTCGTCTGCATAATTGCCCGTGTATTCCAACAACTTCTCATGGACAGCCTTCCTTAACTTTACTGCCCCCGCACCATGAATGCTGAAAGAGAAGGTTTCACCCTGGTCCTTGTCCATCTCAGGTTCAGATCACCTCCCCCCCCCCACCCCCCACCCAAAACAAGTTCTGAAAGTCAAATGGTCGGTTCTGCAGTTGTGCAAAAGCGCTCCAACTGCTTGACTGTGCAACCCGTCAGCAAGCAATATTGGCAATATTGCAGCTTCGCCATCGTCTCGTCAGGTAGACCATGACAAGTAAGTGAGCAGACCAGTGCACGATGCGCCCGCTGGCCGCTGAGTGTGGAGATAACCAAAAGGCGCCTCGGAACATCACGCAGACATGGACAGACCGGGTTTATGATTTTTATGGGTTACATCACAGAGGCATTAGCTGCAGGTCTGCTTGTTAACTGAAACATCTGAAGACTTCCTTGCGACTCTGAGATCACAGCCAATTCAAAGCCAAAATCTGCATCCCCCTGCCAAGAGAGAAATGAGACATCCAAGGAAGGAAAAAGAAAACAACAAAGAAAGAACACGTCAGGCAATCCACTTCCACCACTGAACTCATTCCAGATTACATTTAGGCACACGACTGGCAAATCTCCCAGAATTTTGTGTTTTTTGTTTTTTTTTTCCCCTTGCCTGTTTCTGTTTTGGTTCAAGGTTGCTGTGCGCCAAATTTGGCATCATTTGGAGCATTGGAATTTTGAGGAAATTTTCCTCTGCTGAGATTTCTGAAATTTCTCAAGATTTTCTGAAATTGGAATGCTGGCGAAATTTCATGAACGTGCACTTTTGCCTTGTTGTTTTATAGGTTAAAAAAAAAAAAAAACGGTTGTTTTTTTGCAATTAGTTAGCATTGTCTCCACTCTATGAGGTGGTGGCAAGTTTGGTTAAAATGAGCCTTGGGTTTTCTCATAAATGGCATGACAGGTTGTCTGAAATTTTGGGCCTCCGTTAACCTGCTACTAGCCGTCGAGCTATTCATCCAACTTATCATTGACTAAGCCATCGAGCTAATCATCCAACTAATCATCGACTACAGTCTTCACCCGAATACAACGTACCATCATTGTAGCTGTATTTGGGCCATCTTGCCATCTAAATACAGCCATAATGACCGTACGTTGTATTCGGGTGAAGAAGGTAGCCATCAAGCTAATCATCCAACTCATCATTGATCGAACTAATCATTGATCAAACTAATCATTTGCTGGATCTAATGACAAATGACATCGTCATCCAAGTGCTGATTTGCGCATTCGCCGATGAATGAAAATCTTAATCAACGGATTACTTGGTCCGTTAACCAAAGAGTTGGGCTGATGAACGAAATGAGTAATTCAACAAATGGGCTACGCTGCCAGCTGTCCAATGGGGAGATGTCTCCCCCGGATGTCTCCGGGAGACGGTCAGGGGGAAGTTGACCGGGATCCCAGACAATGGCTTTTTTGTCTGCGCACCACTAGGGGACCCCCCCAAAAAGAAGTCAGGCTGTTCTGAGCAAAAACGAAAAAAAAAATTCATAAACAGTGAAACAGTCTTTGGGGGGGTGTGCGTGTGTGTTGTGGGGTGGGGCGAAGTGACCGGCAACGGCACGACCTCCACCGACCCTCCCCCTTTTTCCTTTTTTTTTCTTTGGTACTAATCAATCAATCAATCAATCAATTCAAATATCAAGATCAATCAATCAAATCAAATACCAAGATCAATGATTGATTGATTAATTGATTGATCGATTGGTCGAGGAGGAGGCTGCCGCGATGGAGGAGGAGAGGGAGGCCACAGCGATGGAGGAGGAGGAGGAAGAGGGGGAGGCCACGGCGATGGAGGTCTAGGAAGAGGAGGAGGAAGAGGAGGCCGAGGCGATGGAGGAGGGAGAGGATCCGGCATACCAATGAGGACGAGGACAAGTCCGCGACGATGGAGGACGAGGAAGAGGAGGAGGAGGAGGAAAAAGAGGATGAGAAGGAGGCTGCGGCGATTGGGGAGGAGGGGGAGAGGCGACGGAGGAGGAGGAAGTGGAGGAGTTGGAGGAGGTGGTGGACGAGGAGGTGGACGAGGAGGTGAACGAGGAGGTGGACGAAGAGGTGGACGAGGAGGAGGAGGAGGGCACGGCGATGGAAAAGGAGTAGGAGGTGGAGGAGGAGAAGGATGACGAGGACGTCGACGGTGAGGAGGAGGAGGAGGAGGAGGAGGAGAAGGAGGAGGAGGAAAAGGAGCAGGAGGAACAAAGCAAGGAGGAAGGAGAAGACAAGGAGGAGGAGACTGAAGTGCGAAAGGGAGAAAACAAGGAAGAGGAGAAGAAGAGGAGAAGTGGAAGGAGGAGGAGGAGGAGGAGGAGGAGCTGGTGGAGGTGGTGGTGTCTAACCTGTAAGTCGGCGGCGATGGCGCTTGGGGTTTGGGTTGACGGCATCGGAGTTCGGCAAAAGCAACACCGAACTCCGACGACAGCGCGCTGACCAAGACGTGTTCGTGGGAGGCCGCCCAGGCCCCCACATTCGAATTTCAAAATGGCCCAATCTGGGGCATCGATCTCGCAGATCTGACGGCCCAGATCGGGCCATTTACTTTTTCGAATTCGGAGGCCCTATTGTCCTCCAAAAAGTTATCCCGCACGGCCCCCCGCCCAAGCCCTGCACCGCCGAAGTTCCCACCCCACCCCCACAATTTTGTTTTACAATCGGACGTGGGACCCCGGGTTAGTCCATTGGGTTCACTCTAAAGTGTTACTCCCATGGGTTTACTCAAAGGGTTACTCAAAGGCACAAATGGTTAACAGGTACCCCCACTTTTCACCCCTAGGGTAACCTTCACCACCCTCAAAAGTGCAGTCGGGATCGTGTTTTTTTGCTTTTTTTTTGGTTTTCTTATAAATGGGGGTGAAAATTGGGGGGTCAGTTAACCTTCTGTCCTCAAAGGAAAGGTTATTCACAGGGTTGATCAAAGTGGGGTTCCACAAAGGGTTTACTCACAAGGGTTATTCACAGGGTTAATCAAAGGGTTCTCCACAAAGGGGTTACTCACCCAGGGGGTTTTCACAAAGGGTTTACTGAAAAGGGTTATTCACAGGGTTAATCAAAGGGTTCTCCACAAAGGGGTTACCATCCACAAAGGGTTAATTTACAAAGGGCAAAAAAGAATCAAAGGATTAACAAACTGAACGATTGATTTCAACGGTTAATTAAACGGATTAACAACTGGGTGAGTAACAAACACGGTGGCGAATCAGAGTGTTAATCAAAGGCTACGGGTTAATCAGACGACGGTCAACCAACAAGAAAATCAACCCTTCGATCAAGAACCTCATGAATAGTCAAACGAGTCAATCAATTACTGAATCAAACCAACTCCCCTCCACGAGAGAGGGCGACTCTCTCTCTCTCTCTCTCTCTCTCTCTCTCTCTCTCTCTCTCTCTCTCTCTCTCTCTCTCTCTCTCTCTCTCTCTNTCCCCTCCACGAGAGAGGGCGACTCTCTCTCTCTCTCTCTCTCTCTCTCTCTCTCTCTCTCTCTCTCTCTCTCTCTCTCTCTCTCTCTCTCTGTGTCTGTCTCTCTCTCTCTCTCACTCTCTCTCTCACACACACACGCACACACACACACACACCCTTCCGCGTCCATGACACACATTCTCAATCAGGTCAGGCGCTACGAGGCCGCCTCTATTCGGATGGGCAAAGAGTAGAAAAGAGAGAGAGAGAGAGAAAGAGAGAAAGAGAAAGAGAGAAAGAGACAAAGAGAGGGAGAGGGTGAGAGAGAACGAAAGAGAGAAAGAGAGAGAGAGAGAGAGAGAGAAAGAGAGAAAGAGAAAGAGAGAAAGAGACAAAGTGAGGGAGAGGGTGAGAGAGAACGAAAGAGAGAGAAAAAAAGGTTGAAAGAAAGAGGAGGAGGTCTGAAAAGGGGCGATGAATGCTAGAGAGAAAGAGAAAAAGAGAGAGAGAGAGAGAGAGGAGAAGGTTTGAAAAGTCGCAACGCATGCTCACAGACGATAAGCCGGCACGGATACTACTAGTAGGGCTTTTGGAGAGAATATGGCTTTAATTGCGGCCAGATACATTACACTCAGGAGAGTGCAAGTGTGAAATGCACAGACAGACGATAAGGAGACAAGGTCTGAACAGTTGCCCAAGGCGTTCGCAGGTAAGAAAAAAGAAAACACGCTCAGGAATCTTGTTTCTCGCAGTGAATCTGACTTCGATTGCGGACAGATGCACACACGAGCTGAAACAAGAAAAGCGGATAATCTTTGACAGCATCCTCACACTACTACCGTCTTCCCCCGAACACAACGCACCCTCGTTTTGGCTGCACCGTACCGGAAAGACAGTAGGCAGCATACCAAACCCCATACGATTTCCAAAAAAATTGATTACATAGTAAATGAGTAATGCATTTTTTATTTTTTTTTGCAATAATAATTTCTTAATTGGTAACTAATTAACAAAGATCTGAACTAAATTAAAATTTCAGCTTCTCCCGCACATAGTCAAGTACTAAGGTCAATTTCTTTCTATTTATTTATTTATTACTAATTAAATTAAAATATAAAAATCAGATCTGATTACTCGTCTGACACGACAACAAGTTCACCACTCAGACCACATTCGACCTTGACAAGCTTAAGAACATACATAGTGGATGAATCTAGGCGTAATTGCGATCAGATACAACCCAGATACTCAACCAGATTAAGAACACAGTGGAATGAATCTTGGCCAGAGACTCACTCAGCACTAACAGTGGGCAACGAGTTTACCAGCCACCAGACCGACGTCACACTCAGCATTAACAGTTTTTACGACTGAATCTCGGCCTAATTGCGATCACATACATCCCAGACATTCGTAGCGTGGGTATGCCCTCAG